GAAGGAAAAGAAGCATCAGCCTTCTTATAGTGTCTACTAGGGCTGTGTGAAATTTTGCCAGGTGTTTTGTTTTGAAGCTGTTTCAATGTGTTTCAAGTTTGAAACAGCGTGAAGCAAAAGGCTTCAAAACAGCTTTGAAATGAAACAAGGGCATTTGAAATATTTCAAAGTTCTCAAAGCGTTTCAAGTTTCGAAGCCAGGCTTGCATGGCTTCAGCACTGGTCCCAGCCAGCAGCAGCAGCCTGCTGTCATCCTGCACACAGATCAGGGGGCCCACACCCTCTGGGAGGAGTCTGGCACAGCCCTGCAGCCCTCCCAGGGGGGCGTAGGCCCCCAGTTCTGTGCACAGGATGACAGCATGCCGCTGTCTGGGGCCAGTAGCAGCAGCAGTCTTCCCAGAGCTTGGCACCGGCTGTGCACAGAGCTGGTCCCAGCCAGCAGCGGCAGCTTCCTGCCATCCCACGTGCAGATCTGGGGTCCCACACTCCCTGAAGGAGTCTGGCACAGCCCTGCAGCCCTCCTGGGATGCAGGCTCCTGGATCTGCATGCGAGATGACAGAAGGCTGCAGCTGCCAGCAAGTGAAAGGAGTTTTCCTTTCAACTGTTTGAGGTACAGTTTCCCAAAAATCTTTTCACCTATCTCCTTGAAGCTTGGCAGGCTTCATGCCCTCAGAAGGGGCTACCATCCCTGCAATTTTCACCTGAATCAAGCAACAAATGACAGTTTTAGACATTTTCATAAATTCCCATTATAGCCTATGGGCGAAATGTCGAAACCTGTCAAAACAGCAAAACAGTTTTGATGAAACAAAATGGAGCAGTGCTTTGAAATTAAACTAAATGATGAAATGAAACACTGTCCCTTCAAAATGGTAAAATGAAAATTGAAATGAAGCGGTGCTGTTTCGCACAGCCCTAGTGTCTACATGCTTTTGTTCTAGACAGAGAAATCAACTTTCCTGTTTAAAACACATAGCCTATCTTTGGAGGGCTAATTCTTGGAGAAAAGGTATACATGGTATGTGAATAAATACAGTAAATTAAAAGTAACCTAGCCCCTTGTTATGTTATATTTTTTCTTTGTTCTTTAGCCCCTGGCAAAGATATGGGTTTGCAAGCATAGGGTATTTCCCATGCTTCTGGGCTTTGCTGGTTGCTCCCCTCTTTTTCTTTCTATTAGATGTGTCAGGGTATTTTAAAGCCTTCTTCAGAGGCATTAGGTGTTGGCTGCAGCTGAAGCTGGGGATTTTGACTGGGGTGTGCCAGTGCTCCTGCTGGGACTTAAAGCCAGAGGTTCCTGGCTAGAGGGGGTTGCCCATCTGCTCAGGGTCAGGAAGGTATTTTACCCCATGGTCAGATTGGTATGGACTGTGGAGGAGAGGGGTTGCCTTTCTCTGTAGCTGAGGGCATAGCTCTCTTCTTGGGATAGCTCAAACATATATTAAGAACATTTTATAGAAGCAGGACGTTGCTTACCATGATCCTCCTGCTTTACCTGTGGCAGGTTAGGGTGTTATGTCTTGTGTTGTTTCAGGGTTGATGGTAGTTTTACAAAGAGTTAAATTACAGATTAGTATGGGATGGTTTCAATAGGGATAATCCTATCCAGGCAGGTGATTGGACAGGATGGCCTCTGGAGGTCCCTACCAGCCCTGCTTCTTTATGATTCTACTATCCAA